TTTCTTCTCTTCTAAAAATGTGATCTATAGCATCTAAGAAGCTTGTTAACATTTCCTATTCTACAGTCAATCATCAGCCCAAAATAACCGTCACTTTCACTGTACGCATTGCCTTCTCCACTGCTGCATTCTTTTCCTTGATCATCCTCTTATTTCAGGCAATAAATGGGGTGTTTTACAAGTACCAGCTATTTAGATAACTTGCAAAACAAATATTTTGGACTGTACAGTCTCCCATTTATGAGCAACCATGACCTGACTTCAGGGTAGGTATATTAACTGAAAACAGACTATCCAGCAATTAGCTTATATGATTAGTATTATTTAACCTAATCAGAAACATTAAGATTGAGTGAGAGGTAGAAATGTAGCTCCAGACTAAATGAAGGTGATGCAGAATTACTATCTTTCTCCAGTGACTTCACTTTGGAAAGCAGAACAACGTTCTCGATATAGCCCTATGTGTGGTTTCCAAGAACAATTTTAGGAATTATATTTTGCAAAATTTCTTTCTCCATTACCTTCTTTCCTTCCTTCTGAGCACAAAGTTATGCTAATACTCTTATGGGTAACAGTAGAGCCTCCTACTCTATGTTTATCATTTAATCATTCACCAAAAGTTCCTTAAATCTAAAAGGCAAGGAGCCTGTCCATTTTTGTGTTTGCTTCTTGCTTTATTTAACATTCGAGCTTCACCTATTTGTCTTCAAACCAGCAAGTTACATACACTGATTGCTGACACTTAGCAGGACAGGAGATTTTCCATGAGGCAAGTCATGGCTTAACTCACTATTTATTCTAGACAATAAGACCTATGAACTAGCAGGTCCATTCACATGTGCTCTGCCTTAACCCAGAAATCTCAGATGACTGGAAGGCAGCTGCAGTATATGGCACATATGCACAGTGCTTAGGGGAGAAGCACTTTACAGCTGCTATATTGTTATTTGGGAGAGTTCTATCAAAAGTACCAATACACTCATAACCGATGTACTTTGTTTTCCTCAAGTTCCAAGAGCCTTTGTTTTGCTACTATGCTGGAATTGTCCTTCCTTTTCTGCCAGAAAGAAGCAACATCTGTTTACTCAAGATGAACAGCATGCCAGCGACACATAACAATGTAACAATGTTTTTACATATGAAACATCCACAAAAATCCTGAAGCTACAGATAAAGACAAAACCCATACCCCAGCAGAACACTCCCTAGCTCTCTTGATCCCAATCCTGTCTGAGCCCTTTCTACCATGTTTCACAAGAATAAAGTAGGTCATCAAATGCTTTGAAATACTATTTTGACACCACTTAGAAAGAATTTGTGCCAAAAAAAAAAAAAAAAAAAAAAGGAAAAAAAAGTGAGGAAAAAAGAAAGAAAGATCAAGGAAGTGTACAATTGGGTGTTTTTTTTAATGGGAGGCAAGTCCCAGGAATCCACATTTATCCTCACAGGTAGTCAGCTGTTTTGGTCTCCTCCTCTCCCTAAAAGCAGGGAGGAGTGTGAAAAACAGCTGAGAACACTCAGGTTGATGACAGTGTTAAAGGAGTAGAGGTTAAATTTTAGCCCCAAAAGGTAAAGTGAACAGAAGGGGGCAGGCTGGCAAAGAAATAAAAATAGAAGAGTGACTAGACTTCACTTGATTGCTATTTCTGGATCAACTATGGAAAGAGATCTGAGAAGGTTTTCTATTTGCAAGGGAGAGAAAGAACAAAACATAGCTGCCTTCTAGAAGGCCACAGTCCTGCACAGCAGTTTTGTTTATGCTTCTTCTTTTCTAAATCCCCCAGTTCTCACTACAAGGAAACACTGCTGTTCAGCCAAAATGTCATTAAGCGTCTAAGTGAGTAACCAGATCAGATTTGCTGGAGCAGGACAGCAATGCGTGTGGCATTTCAATCGAACAGAAACAAAGCTGACCGCACATTGTAAAAGCATGTAGCAAATCACAACGCCAAGCGGAGTAAACTAAGCCACATAATATTTGAGGAAAATAACCAAAGCCCTGCAGTATCTCTGAGAGGATGTCTTGTGTTTTCCCACTCTAAAATGATTAGTGAAATTTTAACTAGTTCCAATTATGGACACAGACTAAAGACAACAACAGGGACCTCCCAATTACAGTATGTAGCGCTTGACTGACACAAGGCTCAGGGGCTGAATGTTTCTGCCTGTTCAAGCCCTTTCCTTTTGAGTAGCTCAGTTAAAATCCTTCCATTGAGTAATTTCTATCCAGATTCTGGCTGTGCTGGCTTTCCTCCCGATAAAGAAAACCTGCAGGCAGAAAGCAGCGCCATCTGCCAAGTCAGAAGCTGCTTTAATGGGCAAGTTTGGTGCGAAGGGGAACAGACTATTACGCTTTATCTTCAGCAGCAGGAGTGATGTTTTCCTTTCCCTGTGAGCACACTCATGCCTGAAGTATTTGTCCACAAATATATGTAGACCTTAATGGATACTGCACAAGCAACCTCCAGAAAAAAAATCTACCCAGCATCCCTTTTTTCCTGTTCAACTTGCAATTCAATCTTTACATTTCTCTTTACCAGTCAGACCAGTTGGTTTTTTTCTTTGACAGCTTCATCAGCCTCCACTTTCTACTCCTGTGAGTGAATGATAACACACCTAGGAAGTGTGAGCAGTGGCAAGGCAGAAACACCAAGGCCCTGTTGTCCCTTGACAGATAGTTCTGCACCGAAGCTGTTCCTGAACTTTTTTTTTTTCCTCCAAGTTTCTTGTCCCTTTTGCATAACTGCTTTGACTGAATGGTTTGCTCCGAAGTCTCATCTGGAGCAGGCTTGGGACTTCCATGGCCCAGTTCAAGTTTCAGGAGAAACAATGGAAGAACTTCCTCTGAATACTTCCATCCTTTCAAACATCTTCAGGGCTAGGAAAATATCTTTCTATTCTTGCCAATTAAACAAGCACAATTTTTATCCTTCCTAGTTGGATAATCTGCTCATTAGACCATCTTTGGAGAGAACAGTGGATTCTCTCTGGGCTGCTGGCAGTTTTACTTAATTGCATATTTAACTTTTTATTCAGCACTTAAACTCATAACTATGAGAAATACATACATGAAAGCAGCAAACTATTATCTGCCATTTAAACTCCCTAGAGAACTCATAAACATCTTAATATTTCTGACCCTTTCAGAAGAAAAGTGCACACATTCCACAGCTGGGGAAGGAAAGAAGGGGGGGCAGGATGACACATATATAACATAATTTCAGTGATATATTAGCCATTCCTGACAACACTCCAGTTTGGGAAGGGGAGGGGTGCTTTGGTCCTTAATATATTTTAAAAGTTCGGAAAAATCATCCAACTCAGTGCTGAACACAAACTGGTATTAGACGATCTACTATAGGTTCCTCCTCCCCCATGAGGCAGAGGACGTTCTGTCAGGGCACAGCAGCTTTACCTCTCTTCTCCCCTTCCCCAACTCTGAGCACTGAATTTTAAAAATATTTTACAGATGCTAGTATCCATAGGAATATATTTTTTATTTGATTCTAAAGCTACAAAATTGTGCTTTGGAATGGCAACTTCTATTTTAAAATGTTTCCAGCCCTCATGACTACAAAACCTTTGAAGTATGAATGGCATACAATCAGCAACAAAGCCACTAAACTCTTCAGAAACAGCAGAACAGCTTCAGTATTAACTATTATCCTTCATCACAGTATGCTAAGTATAGAAATTAATGTTGATAGGATTTCAGAAGGATCTGATTAACAGATCACCTCAGAGCTGTAAAAACCTGACTCTCCCCTGTGCAGACACAAAACCCCAGTGCTTCCAGTCTGTTTGCCAAAACCTCCACTTTCGCCATGATGAACTTCTGTGAGTCAGCTACATGAAGCTAATACAAAAATCTGTGTGATAAAGAAAATGAGAGTGTTGGAAACATGTGAATTAATCAGCATGTTATTGTATTATAAGCTTTTTCTAGTTCCTCTATTAAAATTTTTTTCAATACACAAAGCTACGAGATATTTCCAGTCTGCTCGATCAAAGTGCGAAGGCTTTGCTGGGGACAGCAGTTATAGTTTGGTAAAACCACATCCAGACCTTGGCAGGCCTTCCAGCTGACCACTAGCAGATTTGTCCTGCTGCCAGCAAACACGGAGTGTGAGGTTTAAGAAAAGGAAGTGCACCTGAAAGCCTTCTAGATATCCCAACTAATCAGATAAACACCAGCAAGGACTCAGTAAAGTTCTTAAGTAATCCTCATGACAATTACCCCAGCTGGTTTTCAGTCTTACCATACAGGAACATCCCAGTTCTCATTTGAGCTGCTTTTTTCTAGGGATGTGGTTTAAAAAAGCATCAGGGAAATCTTCAAGTTTAAAAGCTGCAGAGCAAAAGGTAGGTAAGCTTTATGTTCTCTAATGAATGGTTATTGCTTCATTTCTTTAAGTGGTACTTATCACCATGAATATCTACTGAATTTACTTGCCAATAGTGGTGTAATCAGTGCTTTCCCAGGTAATACCCTTCTGTAACCGGATAGCAAAAATAAAGAGGAGAATAAGTGAGCAAACAACTAGAAATGCCCCTTAAGAAAAGTCTTCAAAGGGAGGAAAGCCTTAAGATCAATGAACATTTAAATACTTCCCACTTTAGGCCTATTTAATTGCACAAGATCCAAAATAGTTTCCTTCCCAAGTATTGCATAATACGTTCATTCAAAATCTAGCAAGCTTTCTGACAGAACACACCAAGAAAGCCATGGTTCTCTCCCCCGCTTTTTTGTCTTTTAAATATGAACGCAAGAATTTCACAGCTGATAACATTCTTTGGAAAGTCACACAGAATATTCTGGAAAAGACTCAAGTTTGGACTACAACATTGTAAGTAAGAGCAAATGTCTCCACATATTCAATTTTTGCACTCAGCACTCTATGTGAAATGTAAGCAACAGAAAAAGTAGCTTTTATGTGGCTTTGGAAGTGAACTCTGGCCTCCAAACCATAAACAAGGAAGAAAAGAAAAAGCCTACATACCTTCAAAGCACATTTCTGGCCTGTCTCCTTGTTGAAACACTCCAATACTTTGCCGTTGATTCCTAACCCTAGCACCCGTTTGGAGAGTTTATAGTCATCCGTGACTGCATGTTTTTTTATCTCTAGCTTGACACGGGCCGCTCCCCCAGGCAAGGATTTCACGCTGCTCTTGCTATCCACATGACTCTCTGGCTGGGATTCCTGTTCACCTTCGCTTTGTTCCATATCAGGGAAGAGTCTGAGATGACTGAGATACCCAACAGATTCCCTGTGGGTTATCCTCAGCAGAGTTTCTCCTCTTAGGCGATCGAACCCGGCACTTCAGTCCATTTGCTTGCCATTTAGTCCTGAGTAAAAATGTAAAGGACTATTAGCGACTGATGTGAACTAACCATTCCCCCACCTAACCACTTTTCCCTCTTCCTTTCTCACCAAGATGATGAGGTGCGAGAGAGACCAAAAGTGCAGGTTCGCCTCAGGAAAGCAGACTTTGTTTAGCTTTACAGACTAGTCACCCTAATTCAAATATACACAGCTGTCAGACCGCAGTTATAAATCACTGCTTTTACTGCAACAAGTGCCTGCACCGAGCCTTGGACTGAAGCCTTACCCAGTTAAACTCCGTACAACAGAACAGAGATTGCCTCTGCTTTGAGGAGATTATAAACCTGCATCAACAACTTGTTGCCTCAAGGTTTTGTGTAGAAATTGCCACAATGGTCCCCCGCCTCAGCCCGACACTCCGAGTTAACACAAATACCCGGGTTAAACCCCCAAGGGGCACTGCCTGGGCAGCCGTCAGACCCGATGCTGGGCTGGCACTGACCACATGGCCCCACTCCGCAGAGCGAGGGGCAGGTGCAGCATTTGTTAGGGGACTGTCAAACCACCCAGGCACTGGGGCACACAGAGATGGGACAGCGTGGGCCCCAAAGCCAGGGAGCTGCCTGACCCCGCTGGAGACCAGAGGGCTCCTGGCCTCCCAGGAGCACAGCCCGGGGGAGGGACCGGTGCCAAGGCCTCCCAGCC